AGAGAGAGAGAGAGAAGACAAAAAAGTGAAATTGCAAAAATGTTCAGTCCATATTGCATTCATAAAATTGGAACACTTGATAGACGTGCGGGAAATAGACCCGGGCACACGCGATCAATGTACATACTCAAATTTAATTTGTACAATTTCTTAATAATTACAGGTACCGTATCAACAAGTTGCAAAATGGATTCAATACTGTTATCTATTCTGCTTTGAAAGAATAACTTTCCAAGCTGATATCGGTCTTGTCTGTAACAAATCCATTTTTCGTCGACCCCACCTCAACCAAGCAAATCCTATTATTAGGCACAAGATACTCTCTATGTAATATCCATCAAAGTTCATATTGCAAATACCATTGTGCGTGTTCGTGCAAAACTGAAAAAGGAAATTTTTATATTCTTAAACATGTTTTATAAGCAATTATTTATATTACGTCAAAAAGCGTTAATATTAATACCAACCTCCCTTTCCGAAATTGTGCTACAATCATTCGAGGAATCGGTGCTGCATTGTCGAAATGTTAATGGATCAACAAACCAAAGAGCTGCAGTTGCTGGCCAATTACCTCCAAGATTAGATAAAGTATTTAATAATGTCATGTAAGTACCACCAACTGCTGGATCGCTAATTTTTGCAAAAAATGCCATTGATGCCACAAACATACTACTTGTGAAAATCTGAGAAAAACAAAAGTAATATAAATGAATTTATTAATTTATATTATACTTTATCGTTATTCTCGTGTTCATTTTATATTGATATTTCACCTGATGTATCATATACAGACTTATTAAAAGTATAAAATAATAGGCTGGAACTTGTCCCCCTGTTACAACATATGGTGTTAACCATACTAAAAATGCTGCTACAAGTCCAAAAGCTAACCTGTAAGATTGATTATAAATAGTTATCATCATATTTATTTATTTAATCTAAATACATATTTTTATAATCACCTATAAGGCATAGCTCTTATGTATACGTCCATAGGTCTTGGACCTACTGTATATTTTGAGATTGCCAATGGTAGTAATATTTGTAAAGGTATCATAGGCACAGCCATAAGGGCAAATTTTTCTTTTGGTATACCAGCTTCTACCAATTTTAAACCTGTTACAGCATCACAAGCAGAAAATCCTATCTGTAATTGGTATAAGCAAATTAATATCAAAGAAGTTTAAATTTCATTATATTATATATTTACTAACCTTAGCAGTTAATAAAAATATAATGATAATTTTTATAGATGGTAATTTAACAATGTTCCATAATAATCTGTAAGCATGTTTGACATCTGTATTTAGTTCTCCATCTTTATGCATTTTTTCTGAATCTTCATGTTTAAACAATGCAACTAAAGTGGTTGTAATTACAAATATCCAACCCCAGAAATAAAGAACATCTATAAGAAAGATTAATAAAACATAATTGTCAATTTTTTAATATATGTTACAATTTAAATTAACTTACCAGGCAGGGTCAAGATGCCTTTGTTGGAAGGAGTGGATCTTAAGTAAGTATTACAAAATTCTGCAGATTCTAATGCTATAAAAAATACATAACCAATGAAATATCCAGCAGTTTGTCCCACGCTGTTACATGTAGATGCATATCCCACATTACATCTAAAACAAAAAAATATAAAATTTTATTGAAACAATATACATATTATCTCAATTGCAAATTGATATGTCTATACCTTTTTAACATAGTGAGTGCCCAACCATCTACAACAATATCTTGAGTTGCAGCTAATACATTTAGAGCAAAAAATATTATGGTCAACATTCCTATGTTTGGTTTTGAAGTTTCATTACCCAACCATTGATCTACATGGGTAGACAATAATAGCATAGAAAAACCCATTAAATATTGTGTTGGAATTAACCATGTTTTTCTTCTTCCAAATTTTTGAGAAAATACAGAATCTACTATTGGTGCCCAAAATAGTTTTAGAGAAAAAGGCCATTGAACAAAACTAAATTCAGCCTAATGGTAAAATAATATTCATATAACATCATTTCTGTTATTTGAAACAATTCCAATATAAACATTATGAATTACCTGTTGACGATATGAAACATTTCTGTTCTGAAGTAACATAGGGATAGAACCGCATAAGCCCAATGGTATTCCTTGTAACAGATATAAAAATAAAAGAATAGCTATGTTAGTCTCGTCACCTCGTAAATCGGAACGTTCATGTACGTGATTCGATTCGTGGACACCATCTTCCACTTTGTCGTCCTTTTCCATTTTTCTTCTAGTACCCATGGAGAACGATATAAGAGATCAACAATGATCTCGAACACTTTCTTTATTTTCCAACGAAATATTTCTTTTATGCGAGGGTTAAATTTTTAATCCTTAACTAAATTTTTAACAATGTTATCAAACATTTTGTTAGATGGTAATTATCATTATATTATAACATACCATCTTAAAATGTTCCAGCGTAGATCGTTTGATCAACTAACATAAACATTTCTAAACGGAAGAACCACTCACGTAATAATAAAATTAATTATTAATGTATCTTATTATAAATGTATTATCGTTGACGTGGTCATTGCCAATATAACCTTAATTTTATTTGTATAACATATACAAAAAACGAAATGTATGAGATTATATGAGAAATTGACAGATGAGATTCTCATAAAAAATAAATACTTTTAATTATCTTATAATTATGTTACGAACAACAAGTGACGAACAGCATCTCAAACTATTTCGTTTTCATTAAGTTAGCGAGGTATCATTGAAAAAAATTTGCAATGGCTCGTAAATGCCACGTTGTTTTTCATTAAGGACACGTCAGTTATACTTTATCTTTTTCAGTCTTAAAGCCACGTGTGAACCCTTTACTACTGAATGTAATCATTCAATAGAAGAGCAAAATATTGTAGCTAAATTCATTTGAACGAATTTATTTCCTCACATAAAAATGTGCCTTTATACTATGTATAATATTTTCATAGCAATCAATTATTTCTTCAATAAGTTTTAAGAGATTAGAATAACATTGTTAAAAATGAATGAATATTATTTAAAATAGCCAGAAGAGTTATGTATACATAGTATTTAAATAATAAGTCATTAACTATAAAGATTTCATAGTCCATCTTGTAAGTTACATAAGATGCTATGCGCATGATCAGTCCGCCATTTTTATTAGTGAGGAATAGTAGGGAAAGGATAAGAATACGTTTATTTTAGTTTTGTTCGACGATTTAAGTGATTAATAAATTCATAGTCTGTCAGAAAATAAACTTTACATGTTTGTTTGATTGAACACGAGAAAATAAGAAGAAAAGTGTAATCAAAAATATATTTACGGTTAATCGTCTTGTTATCGTTCATTTATTCAATCATGCGCATTAAAGTTTTCATTTTTATTCGGTAAAATAATTATACTTTTATTTTTCATAATTTTTTTATTGCTTTAAATATTTTAATTAAAATTTTTCAAAATACAATTTTTTTATAAACTCTAAAATTTAAAAATTGATAAATTTTTAGGTTTTTATTTTTTATAAGTGTACACGTTAGAACGTTACAATTACCTCCATTCGAACCAATAATAGTTGCAGTTTTTAATAATTTTTTAATACGAACATTTTCAAGTTCTTTAGATATATTATTCAACAATCTGTAACGATATTAAATCGTGTGTACAAAGTTCTTAAATTGTTTTTTATAAATCATCATAACAATAAAGAACAAATATATACGTACAAATTGTTAAGTTGACGTTCCAATGCTAATTTTCCGATGAAAAAGTCAATATCTTTCCTATGATTAAACCAATAATTCCATTGAATTTCACATATAAATCTAGCAATACATGGTGGTGTCAAAGATGTTTCACTTCCATTTTCATCCTTCTATTTAACGCAAAAATTAACATAAAAATTAAAATGAAATTCGTAGTTAGAAATAATAATTAATAAAACAAAAATTGAATTGAAATCACCTTGGTAATGTTACTTTTTAGGTTTGCTAAGATATAATTCATATAAGCATCTTTATCTTTGACATTCGACCGTTTCCTTCTTCCCGATACAACTCCAAGCGGAAGAAGAACGGGATTCGTTGCTAAAGCAGCTGCTGCACCAATTAAGGCAACACCTGCCAATGCTTTTAAAGCTACAGCCTGATGCAAATGATAACAATCGATAATATCTTAAGAGATATGGTAAATAGATTAAGACATTGGCTACAAATTTAATCATCACCTTTTGCGCTTGAATATTCGGATGTGAGGGAGCATGTCCTCCTGAATGATTTGGCTCCACAGGTCCGAATTCTTCGCCATTAGCAAAAGTTCCTGAAATACCGTAACCACCACCACCAGAAACTGATCCTCCATAACTTGTTGGTCGACTAAAACTGTATCCTCCGTTATTAACATAACCATATTCTCCAGATACGCTGGAATCGTAACCACTGGGTTTTCGTGAACTCTCGCTTCCATAATTCGGCCGTGAACCAAATCTAATACTCGTGTAAAATTGCATTAAGCATTTGAAATATTAATAGGAAAATTGGAAGGAATTATACGTACTATCAAAGTAACTAAAGTTTACCTATCTCCTATTATACTTCCTTCGTAAAATACACCTCCAGAATAACTTCCACCTTCGGGTCTTTTTGTGCTTCCTGCTGGTGGTCCTTGAGTTTGCCAGCCGTATCTGGATATTATATTCTTTCGATTGTGCTTTTGTAAATTAACTGCAATTAAAAAAAAAAAAAAAAATACCTATCAACTGGTAAACGTTCGTCGAATTTAATTGGATATCGATTGTTTTCCACAGGAATCCTACTGTAGTATGAGTCGGGTCGCATCGATGAATTAGAACCGTATTTGGATCCGCAGCAACTAGAACTTGCACGTCAATTCAAAATTCAACTTGCAATTCAAACGTGATGAAAAATAATTTCCAAAACAAATTTTTAAAATACTCGACTTATCTTTTGATTCGGATTCCAATCGTTGATCTGAAGCCCGTGATTGTTTATCCGAACGATCAAATTTCTCGTTACCAGACACTACGCTATTCAGGTACGAAAGTTTGGAAGAATTTTTATTACGCACGATATTCGCTAGTAACTTATTTTCGGATTGTTTTTTAACGAATTCAGAAGTTGTAACAAATTCATTACTTTTCGCTAATGAACAACAAATAACGCTATACGTTAGCAAAGCACAAATGAATTGCGACATCGTGATAATAAATCTCTAATTAAGTAATATATAATAATAGTTTTTCGAGAAGATTTTAATAAAAAGATGAACGTCACGAAGAAAAGTGGTTCTTTCCATGAGTTTCACCTTTTTTATATAGTGGCCACGCATGGAGTATTGTCGCGCATTATACCCTTCAGGAGTGGTATCAGCTTTCTTCCTGTCGTTACTTTATTTCAGAAAGTTATTCGATGTACGATATATTATATAATAAGTTTTTTTTTATTTTGTAATAATTTTATTCATATTATATTTAGCCTCTATATTTATTGCGTTATAAGCAATAGTTATTAAATATCACAAATATTATTTTCGATATGAAAATTTTATGGACTTAGTTGCGTCCCTGTAACGCACGAAGCATGACCAAAAGATGTGCAGAAGTGCACGTTGGTGAAAATAAAAGTGTCATCAGTAAGTCAACAATATTTTTACCGTCACGCTAAGAATTTAATTATCTTCGCTTTGTTGCCGCAGTTTTAAACGAAATTTCACATTTTGACAGAAAGAGCAACAGCAGATCAAATCTCGAAAGCGTTTTATTGTAAAAAAGAATTATACATATCTATTACATATATGGATACATAAACAATGCTCGATCATATTTTTATTCTTGTAAATGGATCCGGAGCAGATGTCAATTTCGTCCAAATAGATAGGTTTGTCCCTTATTCGAAACTTTTTAACTCTCGTTTACGAATTGGATAAATATTTGTTCATCATTTTTAAACTTCAACAGACTCATAAATATTTTTGTTTCTTTTTTCGAATAAAAATATTTCATTTTTTCATAAATATAATCAATGTTACAAAACACAATAGGATAATCTGTTCCGCCTGGGTATTTTTAGTGCCTGTCGACTTAATAACCGCGTGTGGTACCACGCATTACAACATTCTTGGTACAAAATTTATCCGTCTATTGTGCGTGCTAATCGTTTGCAAGTTCGAAACAAAAGAAACGACGAGGATTTTACAACTGTGACGAAAGGAAGTATTCACAGTTTATAATGAGGATTCGGACGGACAAAGAGCGTAGTTCCTATGAATGTCATCTTCTTAAAATTGAAATCGAACGAAACGTTTGAAATACATATATATATATAAAATATCTTATTCGTTCGTAACTAAAAAAGAAGCTAGCGAAAAGAGATTTTCTATTCCGTGCAAAGGGATTGAAGAGCGCGCAGAGACATTATGGAGCTAATTTAGAGAAGAAGAAAAAAAGAGGAGGGAAAGGTCGTGGATGGAACGGGATGATTCGTTACGCGGGCGAGGTAAAAAAGAGAAAAGAAAACGAAGAAAGAGGAGGCAGAGATGGGCGAGAGGGGTGACACGAGAGAAGATACGACGAGGACCAAGAGATCGCGGTATGGAGCAAGAGTGGAGTAATCAATACGCATTCACACGCGGTGGCTAGCATCCCGTTTCCATGGTAACCGACGCCGGCGCATGCGCAACGCCTGACCAACGTCATACCGTTATAGAAATTTACTTATCGTCAGAGACAAGTCCGTCCGTGTACGGCGCGGAACTACCAATCGGCGAGCTTCGACTCGCCGTTTCAGATATTCCACGTGCATACATGTATCGACATTGCGTTTTAAACCTACTGCAAATCGAGATGCAATCCGGATCCAATTCTACTTTTCAGCGTTCGTTACAACGTGCACAGCTCAACACCGAACGAAACGAATGAAATTCTGTTATCATTCGTCCCTTCATTACCGATACGTAACAGCGAAAAGCAATATATTCGTCCCTCTTGGATCGAAATATAGTTAATCGTGTACGATTGTTCCCACGATGATAGTCATGCTGATGTATCGTTGTCACTGTAGGGTACAGTAAAACGTTTGACTCTCGGATGTTCACCCCCCTCTGGCCAAGTCAGAGGGGATGGAGTTTGCGGGTAACAGGGGGTGATTCTCCTTCAGGCGCCTGCGTCGAGTCCTCGATGACGACTCGTCGAGGTAGGTGCTCGACCCGGACGCAGTACGGAAGAAACGTCGAGCACGCAGAGTGCCGTCCTCGTGACACATCTTACTCTCTTTTTTTTTTTCGATCCATGGCAACAAGAAAACGTGGGAAAGCTTGCCCGGTGAATCGTCGAATTATCGAGAAGAATTGTCGAACATTGTTCGGTGAGCCTATACAGTTGGACGACGATCATTACGCGATGCCCCCCATCGTTTTCTGTCGTTGCAGTGACCGTAAATGAGGAGGACAGTTATCACATCCGAGGATGATTTATCAATGGCTCGATGTCGCGGCAAAAATAAAAGTAACCTGCAATTTTTGAATGATTTCGAACGGTACAAGTGATATTTCATCCGACATCTTTTTCCGACGATCAACGTTTATCGTATTGCAAATGTATCGTGTAGTGAATGAATAGTATGGTCAATATGTCGCGGTGAGGCAATTTGAGGATGAGCCTAGGACGAGTCTCGTCTATGGTGCGTCTATAGTAAAGGAAAAAAAAAAAAAAATAAATACAGGAAGGATCAACGCTCGGCCTGTCGATCGTTGTTACACTGCCACCATCGGAAACAACAGGTTGAATCAGTGATATAGTAACATCAAGTAATATACGAAGAGATCGTTCGAAGCCGAGATTTCACAGTTGCATGCAGTGTAAACGATTCTCGGGCCACGTCATCTCGAACCAATTAGACGATGTATTTCCGGCAAATCGCCAAGGTTAACCGCCGATAAGCATCCCGAGATGTTCTTACCACCATAAAGACAGGCTTAGTCGCATTTAATCGGTTGCATGTGGGTCACAAGTTGCATCCGCCAAACCTAACCGGATAGAAGGTTTACCGAGTAGAGAGGTAAGCTTGTTAAATTGCGTTACGCTCCACCGTTACCGCGCTTCCACTAATACGTAACTAGTTGTAATTAATTGTTCTCTTCTTAATGGCTCTTGATTGTATATTTCTCATATTTTTCGGCGGGATTCTTCGAGAATTATCGTGGGTCGAAGCAGCAGCCGAAAACCAACTTAACCTCTTTATCTGCAGCTTACAAAAAATTTCGATCACGCGTTTCTTCGTTTACAGCATGCGAACGAATGATGGAACGAAGAGAGAAGGAATTTCTTGAAATTTCTGGATAAATTGTAAATCGTCGAATCGGTTGGGTCGAAAAGTCACGTGGTGGATGGAGTTTACAGTGTCCTTAACCTTCCGGAAAAATCAATTGTTCGCTTAATAATCAGATGTGGTCTCAGGTGTCTTCTTAAGTCTAGATCGAAGGAAATGGATGATTTAAGAATGGAATTGTTTGCCACGTGAAATGCTCGCGTTCGTATCTCGAAGAGAAATTAAAGTAGAAGATGCAATTTTTCTCTCTCGATCTTGGCATTCTTCCCTGAGAGGTTATTCCCCCGAATATTTGTCTGACGTTAAATATTCTTCCCAACTGTATACCCGATACATTCGATAACATTGGCTAGAAGTAAAAGTGGCGTCGTCAGCGACAACACACTTTTCGAATCTTTGTTTGTCGTTTGCATTAATTTCATTTATAGAAACCTGACTGAGACGTATAATGCTCAGGGACACCGATACAGCGAGCATCAAGGGACAAGGATTATCACGTTTGGATCACATTATATCTGTGATTTTGTTCTTTTTAAGGTTTCATTTTGCGTCATGCATCGCACAGTTTGAATACACGAGCGAACACCGAATTGAACATTTTCTATTGAAATGAGAAATTGTGAGAGATGTCGCGGGAATCAAGAAACACGTTTCACGCCTTGTTATATTGCCCGTCACCCGTGATGACACTTTACAGGCGTTGTTTGCCCGATTCCCATCAAACGTAGTCGCATCAGAATGCGTGGGGTTATTCCTACCGCAAGTGACACTAGTGACACGCTCGAGGGTTTCTAGTGGGTGTCGTTCAAAATACGAGTCAAACGAGGTGGGGACGTTTTACATCGTAACGCGATGTTGACAGGAAACAAGCCTCCCCTCCTCCGTACGTGGATTCTTCAAAGGAACGTTTCGCGAGATTAAAAATTCGAACGATTCGATCGACACGATGATGACAAATTTTCCTCGTCTCCTCTGGGAAAAGCGACGTACGCTGGACGACTTTTCGAGTTCGATGCTCGCTCGAAACGTGAGAAAAAAAAAAACAAGAAAAACGCGAAGAGAGACGAGGGAAAAAATGAAGGAGAGAGAGAGAGAGAGAGAAGAAAAAACTGGGCGGTGAAAAGTGGTTCTTGCATGCACATCCACCGTAATGAGAGAGTCATTCTTGATTCTCTCGCGAGTGAAACTTCTTCGCGCGAAAGACGAATCCGTCATCTGCATAATTGAAAACTGTGCACTTGCGAGTAAAGAGAAAAAGAGAGAAAATATTCACGAATCTCCATTCTGACTGGAGAAAGAATTTACGAGGTATGCATACAACGCATTTTTCTCCACGGGGGCCAAATAATCGATACCGCGCGATACGCCGTGAAAATACCACGCTACTTCTCGTTTCTTTAATCCCGCCTTTTCCACGACGAACGAGGGGAGCCCGCTTTTTCCTTTCTTAAAAAACGTACGTCGTTGAAAATATTTATCGAAAATGTAAAATCGCGTTATTTTCGCGACGACTCGTCGGGAACAGTGCAGCGGAAACGTCGTCTACGAGGAGGAAGGAAGGAAGGGGTGATCCTGGAACGAGCAACGAAACGGGCAAAGGAACATCGCGTGATACAGAAATCAAGAGAAGTGCGAGCGTCGACGCGGATGGAGGAAATTGTCTGACTGCCCTCCCTTTTCGGTAACGCATCCATCCCCCTCGAGTGACTCGAGTTAACCAGAAAGAGGGAGGGAGAAGAAAGGCTTTCAAGCGGAATGGTGGTCGGGGGAGGGGAGGGAGAATCAAAATCTGGCCGAATCTCGAAGCTGGGAAAAATAAAATTCCCGCCACGGGTCGATAACGCGCCTCGTCGGAGGGGCGTTCGAAGAAAGAGAAACGCTCGAAGATGAGATATCGAACAAGGGAGAAAATTTATTTTTAATAAAATTTATCGAAACTCCTTTCGAGGAGTAAGTTCGATGAAAATTGTTTTCTCCATAGTTGTTCGATCCTCGAGGAAAACTTTTCTTTTTCGAAAATGGATCGATGGAAAAATATGTCTCGGTGGAAAAGTAAGCGCGCGTAATAATCCTCGTGTAGGCAGGGCGTGGAAACGTGATGTAACGCGCAAGAGAGACGACGGAAAGCATATTGAAAGCAAACGAGAAGAAACGAGCCGTGTCTCGCAAATTTCCGGGTCAGACGGCGTTTCATATCGATTTGACAAAGTGCGAAAACACAAGGAGGGAATATTATGAACAGCTTCTCCCGTTCTAAACACATCTACATTTCCGTACATTTGAATGAAACCGCCCACCGTTAATCCCTTAACGAGATTTAGAGATGTCGACGATTGAATTCGACGAAAATAATAAATTTTTATAATATTCGTTCGGACACAAGCAAAGTTTCGCTTTCCCTCGCTCGAGATTTCCCTCCCGTTTCCTTGCTGCACAACCTATATGGTGTATACCACGGGGGAATCCCATTTGTAGTATCGGCGAGGAGCGTCTACCGGCGAGCATATTGCTTCCCAGACCTATTTGCGTACGCGTGTTTGGGGCGCGTGAGGGTGCATTCGTTTACCCGAAACTCGATTTCCTAGCTTCGGTAATTGAATTTCAAGTACGTCTACGTGGGCAGCTGTTGATACGTTTAAGGCCAATATGGGTGGATCATCACGTCGGATTAAACGGATCGAAAAAAACTCGATCCTGTCGTACAGTTTCATACATCATTAGATCTGTTTACGAAAAATAATACTTGCACCTCGTTTCTTAGCAATTGATAAAAATTCGTCCCAATTTTTTAAATCTACTTCGAAAACTAATTGGAGATCGTCCGCAGGGAGAAAATGTGGAGCTCGGTTACTGCGGCTGGCACTGAAAACGGGCCCGCACCACCTTCCAGAAGCAAGCACAGCGCCACTTTGCTCTCCGGCCACGTATATCTCCTCGGAGGACGGAACGGCAATCTTCCCCTCAAAGATCTTTGGCGATACAGCCTCGGTAAGTGATAATTACCGCCCGCTTTTAATTTCTCTCTCTCTCTCTCTCTCTCTGCTCTTTCGAAGCTAAACGTTTTGCCTGTGCTCGAAAGGCAAGCTAGACTCGTGAGAATAAAGAAAATAAAAGTCCTCTTGGTAATTGCACAGAGAGGAGGGGGTATTAATACGCGATGTCTGAGCACCGTGAACACACGGAAACAACATCTCTGACCAACGCCACCCTACCCCATCTCGCTCGGTGAACGAGAGGGTGCGCGACGGAATTTAAACGGGGTTCAGCCTGATCAATAACACGCCATTATTAAAGCCCATACGTCCGTATCAAGTAAATCCGCGATACTCCACAATTATATCCATTGGAGGATATTACGAATTAATTGCCCGATGTTTCGAGAGAATTATTATAATTACATTCCAGTTCAACGAAGCTCCTGGCCAAGTTTTCGATCGATCGATAAATCGGATAATTCTTCGGCGAAAGGTTTTTAAATTCGGTGGAAATTTTGGAAAATGTGAAGCGAATTCGTTCAATATAATAACAGAAGTTGCGAATGTTGTTTGATCGTGCGTTCGAACGGTGCGATTCGCCCTATTCATCAGCGGGGATTGTTCGAGTACGAGTTCGGGTGAATATTAAAGCGGTATCAGAAGGGGTTGGTTTGTCTCCTGGGGGCAAAATACTATCCGAGAACAGCCCTTGGCGTGTTTTAAAAGCGACGTCGATGCACTCGGCCCCGGCAAAAGTATTATCCCGACCGCAAGAGCTGCGTGTTCTCCTCGCCCTCTGCTGCGAGTTTTCGAAGAGAGTTATCACTTGAATCGTCGGTCCACGATTTCTGAGAACAACAGATCAGAAGATTAACAATCGCTCTAATCTAGTCCGTTTCTTCCCGATCTTTTTCTTCGATAACAAGTTCCCTGTTCCTGTGAACAGCATTTTTCAACGGGACAAAAGAAGTGCATTGCTTCTTCTTCTTCTTCTTCTTCGTGGCTCTGGCTAGATACGACACGTTTGCTCGTAATCAATATCGGGCATCTTTAGTGCCAGACCACTGCAGCCACTTCACCCAACACATTATGACTCTTATGTAAATTTCACTCTCTTTGTTCTCGAGCACGTTCCACGGGGACTGCGATATTGTAAGCGGTGAAAAAAAAAAAAAATACTCCTTCCTTCACTCCTTCGCGATATGTATATATATATATAACTTCGCGCGCCGTTGATTTCGTTTATTTTTTTTCCCCGAGTAGATTAGGGGAGCGTCCCTTTTCGCAAAACTTTTCGCGAAGGGTAAAGAAAGAAGAGCGTCTTCTTGTTAAATCCGATGCAAGTTTTAACTCACCCTTCGTTAAACGAATTCAGGTTTCTTTCGATTCCTATTCTTGTGCAAGAAGATCGTGCTTCGACGAAAAAGAATCTCTCGCTCTTCGATTATTATTATTATTATTATTATAATTTTATATAATTTATTATTATTATATTTATATTATTATTATCTCTCGAACTTGCGTCCTTGGCGCTGCTTACACTTAATCCCGCTCTCTTTACATCCTCCACCTTCGTTTCTTAAGAAGCCCCAACCGCTTGGAGGAGGATTTATTCGAGGGAGGCAGATTGCCGGGGCGGGTGAAAGCGTGATTTACCGAGTCGAGAAAGATTCCTAGTATCCCGGTGTATCCTCCAGAGATCGCCTCTCCCCCGCTTTTAATTTTGCGCAACGTTGATACAACTCTTCACCTCCTTGGTCTTCCTCCACTTTCGTAAAAATAAGGTTTCCTCCTCTTTTTAACGTATCGCGAGGAATAGTTAACGATAATTAAAATTAAAATCGCGTTGGAGGAAAGGTTTGCGCGTCGTTGTGCGTCCAAGTGGAAACACTGGTGGTATTTTTTTCTTTTTTTATATTATTATTATCTCTCGAACTTGCGTCCTTGGCGCTGCTTACACTTAATCCCGCTCTCTTTACATCCTCCACCTTCGTTTCTTAAGAAGCCCCAACCGCTTGGAGGAGGATTTATTCGAGGGAGGCAGATTGCCGGGGCGGGTGAAAGCGTGATTTACCGAGTCGAGAAAGATTCCTAGTATCCCGGTGTATCCTCCAGAGATCGCCTCTCCCCCGCTTTTAATTTTGCGCAACGTTGATACAACTCTTCACCTCCTTGGTCTTCCTCCACTTTCGTAAAAATAAGGTTTCCTCCTCTTTTTAACGTATCGCGAGGAATAGTTAACGATAATTAAAATTAAAATCGCGTTGGAGGAAAGGTTTGCGCGTCGTTGTGCGTCCAAGTGGAAACACTGGTGGTATTTTTTTCTTTTTTTTTTTTCTAGCCACGCGACTTGATCCCCCTCGTCGAGGAGGGGAGAAGCGTAAATCTGCCTGGCGAAAACACCTGTTTTGGGATAACGAGTCGACGCGTGTTAACCCTTTCTTTTATTTTCTTTTCCCAGCCGACAGTAAATGGGAGGAATTGCATCCTGGGGGGGAGAGGCCGCCGGCGCTCCAGGAGCACAGCGCGGTAGCTTACAAGGATTGCCTTTATATTTTTGGGGGAGAGCTCGGCTTTTCCGCGGGCACGGAAACGCCGCTTTGGGTCTACAATGTCAAGGTAACGTATCATCGCCTCGGGCGGATTCCAACCCTTTTCCAAACAAGCTTACATGTGTCGTATGGATCGAAGAGGAAACCGGCAAGATGCGCGAACAATAATGCTCTCTCTCAGATCTGTCTTGTAAATTTCGTTTAGTCGAAATTTCGAATTTAACCGATTCGATTTATCGGGAAAATCGGGGGTAGCCTCGAGGGTAGCCTCACACCCCTCGTCGACACACCCGTTCGAGGGGTAAATCGAAGGAAAACCAGACCACGTTGGCCTCGATTGACAATATCTTGCCTCGACGATTTCAAATTGATTATTGATTCCCTTAAGTTTTTGCCTTCGATTAAAAAACCCTTTCAATTATCTGTCCAAGGTAGAAGAAAGGGAAAGCTGGGGATAAAAATCTTAGGGTCCTTATATACGTCACGTTTCTCACCGAATCTGAGCGGAGCAATTTTTGCCAACAACCGGTGTCCACACCTCTCCTCCCCCGAAATTGAACGGCGCTATCCTCCCAAGGGTTTCCCTACCCTCGACCTGTATGCGTTGCTGATCATTAAAAATTGATAAATAAGTCCACGTATTGGTCCTTTTCTTCGCGTTAATAGTTTATCGCGTTCCTTTCAACGGAGTAAATAAAAAAATAGAGGAGGAGGAAGAGGAAGAAGGGAAGAACCCGCGATAATTATACGTATATATAAAAAATTGTCTTCGTTTAATTTTTCAAAAATCTAAACTTTCCTCCTCCACTCGGTTGCCATGGTTACTTATCTTGCTTGCTCCTGTGCATTTTTACTCATTGAACCATGACACGGGGACACTCCCCGTCTGCTTGTCTCCTCCTGTAATGTATTATTGAAATCCGCGTTACGAATGCGCCCGGCAAACCCGATTGGTTAAGCCAGAGGGGTTGCTTCGCGGTTTGCTCTCTTTCCACTCGTCTTCCCTTCGTGCCTCGTTAAAATTCTCTCTGCCGTTCTGGCGAAAAGAAAAAAAAAAAAGAAAAATTGTATTCTAGATCCTTCCTCTTTCCTCTTCTCTCCTTCCCTTTTTTTTAATTCGAAAAGATCGATTCGAAAAACTGCTCGCGCCGTTTTCTCCAACTAATTTCGCAGCGTTTTAACGTCGATGGCGGATTATTTAGCTAGCTTATTCCACCCTCTCCTCGCGGGGTAGACGCAAGTGGCTGTACACACCTATCAACTTTAGGCACGTACTTCGAGTTACGTAATTACTTTCAGCACCCCTGCTATACATAGCTTATACACCTTCTTTCTCTCTTCGTTTGCATGCAGGACCGCATTCTCCTTTCCTCCCGTTGAAACTACGTTGACCGACTCGAGATAGAAAAGACTCGGTGATTGCCTATTTCAGAAATATTGTATAATTCATGGATCCCCGTTATTTCTCTCCTATCTTTTGTGATATCGGCTATTTTTTTTTCCCTCCCCCTCCTTTCTAATACGTCCTTCCCCCTGGAACAAATCGTGCGTTACTCGCATCCTACATCTTTTCATCAATGTTCCTTTTTTTTTTTTCAAGGTGAAGTTTTAATAATAGATCGATGCGTCCGACGAGCGAGAGCTTTATACGCTTTCTCTCTCTCTCTCTCTCTCTCTCTCTCTCTCCTCATCGAATAATTTCGAGAGGAAATATAATTTTTGCGATCTGAAAAATAAGATGAGTTGGAACGTCTTTTTTTTTGTGATTCGAGACGAAATTAGAACACTCGTCCAACTCGAGATCTGTGTATTTGTGATTGTGAAAAGTGATGTCAAATTGGAGACGATTGTCCGAACAAAATTAACGCTTATGGAAGAAAGATAATTTCCTTTTTCCTCGAACAATAGGCACAAAAAAGGTATACTTTTCAAATCTTGAAATGATGAGAGACAAGGGAAGAAGATGTATTAACAGTTATATCATATCATTATACTCCGTGTTATTTGATTTACAAAGTGTAGTTTAAAAGTTACAAATACGAGGAAAGATTTTTCATCTACGATGAAAATACAAGCGTGAAAACAACTCTGGCTGCGATAAACGATCTTTCTTCGTGCACATTTTTGGAGAAGTAGCGAAATTAATCGAAAACGTTCGTTTCCAGACGAACGTGTGGAGGAAGGTAAGAGCGCAACGGGGTTGCGCGGTTCCAAGAGGTCGAAGAGGTCACACCGCTTTGGTCCACCGTGGCCAGATGCTCATCTACGGTGGCTACCAAGACTTACGTGGCAGCTCCCCTGAATTATGGGCGTTTCATTTCGGTAAAGAAAAATATAAATTATTTATATAATATTTTAAAGATATATAATGAACGTAATGTAATCAGAGACAGAATCGTGGCATCTTCTGTCCTCGAGCGAGAGCGGGCCAGCGGCGAGGCACAAACACTCGGCCGTGTTGCACGGGGACGCGATGTACATTTACGGCGGTATGACAGATCTGCAAGAGAGAAGCGATTGCTGGCGATGGGACGTGAACACTGCCTCTTGGTGCCTGTTGAGGAATAAACCTGGGCCGGGACCCCTTCACGGCCACGCAGCCTGCAGGCTGCCCAGTTGTATGCTGATTTTCGGCGGGGAGAGCGGCGGTTTGGCCACGAACGAGCTGTGGAGGTTTCATTTCGGTAAAGTTTGAATCGAAGTTGTATCCCAACTTGATCAGTTATAAAATGAAAATCGAAATTTGAAATTTGTGGAAAGGCACGGAGACGTGGGAGAAATTGTCAGTGCCGGGCCCCAAACCCCAGCCGAGAGCGGAGAGCGTCGCGTTGGCGGTTTCCGAGCTGCTGATCCGAGGGACCAATATCGATAGCTCGAAGCCGAAACCGAAGAATCAAAGGACGAGGCTGTGCAACAACAGGATATCGCCTAATGAGGCGCCGGCAAGGCCGAGCTTTCTCAAGGAAATTTCCAAATTATCCCAGATCAATCTGTCACGGTTGAGCCACCCGACCAAGTGCAGCTATTCCGTTTTAAGTGGGCAGGACGACAACGAGGAGAGCCCCCAAGAGGTACACAACGTGTTATTTCAATAAGATAAATAACAACCTCGTCTCTTTTTCTTTCTTTCTTTCTTTCCAAAGATACACGCGCACCCACCGTTTTTTCCTTCACGCACACACGAAACGCATGTGACAAATACAAGCCTGCCTGCAGGCGAATACGTATTATCCGTTTCAGCAAGTGGACTCGGAGGTTTGCGAGCCGTCCACGGGGATGGTGAAGTCGCGGAGCGCGAACACGTTGGCCCGTCGAAGGCAAAAACCCCCGGAGTCGAAAAGCGTGGACACAGCCAGTTGCAACAGCCAGGCGGGCAACAGTTCCGGGATGACCAGAGACCCGATCTCGGTGCCGAATTTCCGTGCGCTCACCTTACCCACCCCTGTTCTCACGCCCGTCGAAGCAGCGAGGCTCGTGTTCGTCGACCTGGACGAGAACAGCGACAACGAAGAGGAACGAACGGAGCCTCCTACCTCGAGGCTGATCGAGGTGCAAGAGGAAAAACGGTAGGAGATGTCTGGTGTAAGTGAGAAAAGAACGAAAAAAGGTGAAAAATGGTAATTTGCAGAGACTTTGCGGCCGTGCACCAGGCTTGCCAACCGACGCGGGGCGAGAGTTACAGCTCGCATCTTTACGAGGCCGCCCTTCAAACGCCGAAAACCCCGACCACTTCGAAAATTCCTACCTCGGCGTCGGTCCGATTCGCCGACTTGGAGGAGGGCGAGGAATCGACGTCGGATTACGCGAGCATAGAGGCGAGAAGTCCTGGGGATCCTCTGGCCGACGACGATTGGCCGACCGGTCGAAAGGGGAAACAATATAGGCCGATGGCCACGCCGTCGACGATACGCGAGGGCCAATTCGGCTTCTGCAATCCGAATTACCTTGGGCTGGACGAGGCGAAGAATCATCACTACCATCACCATCATCAGCAGCAACAGCAACAGCAACAACAGCAGCAGCAGCAGCAAGCTCAAGACGGGAAGTACGCGAAATTGTTGAACAGCCCACCGGACAGTGTTTTAGAGGACGAGCCAGGGAGATCCGCGTCGCAAACATTCGCGGAACTGTTGGAGCTTCAAGAAATCAAAAGGGTGCCGAGGGCGCCGCCTAAAAGTTTGCCGTTAGGCTCCCCGTCGAGGAGAGCGGTGAGTGCGTCGAGAGCCGAAAGGCAGAGGGCAAAGGTGGCCGCGATTGAGGAGGCGGAGACACCCTCGTACGGGCCAGCGCCGCTTTACGTGTTTCTGGTTGGAGGGAAGGAGAAGGGCCAGGTCACGGTGTTCGCGAGGCCCGTTTCATTATGGAAATTGCAATTAGCGCCACACATCTTTTAAAGAAAAGAAAGAACGATAAGTACGTTCGTTCATTTTATCTTGTATTTTTTCATTATAATATCTTATCTAACGTTTCTCTCGAAGATTTCCGTCGATCCCGAGCCGAATCGAAGAAAGATTTTTTTTTTTTTTTTCCTCTTCAAAAAGACTTCGGAATGTTATATCATTGCAATTAATCGTGTTTAAGCTCGTAGAAAGAGAGGGCTTTTCTAGTTTTCTATTATTAATGATACTTATTGTTGAATACAACGCGTTCAGGTATATTTATATATATATACGCACTTTACTTCAAAACTCTGTCAAGTCCATTTTTCTAGTCATTTTTTTACAAATAGTATTCAACTGTTTTAAATATTCGATATTATGTCGGAAAGTATATAATTAATATTAACAGTGCAATATGTGATTAGAATTGTAAGTAATTACTTATTATTTAGAGTTTACAATAAGTCGGATAATATATATATATATATATATATATATTATTATTCCACAGTTATTTTCTTTAAATTATTTTTCTTCTTTTTCTACGTCTGATTATCATTATGTTAAATTATATTGAACATTTAAAAATATCATGTTATATAAAATAATTTTAAAAATGATATTTATGATATTCTACCTCTTTTCTTTTGAATAAATATATTTGAATACTATATTGTTAAATAAGTACCAATATTAATGATATTCTCTATAAATGATATAACATGCACACGATTGTTGATTTGTTTATCTGTATACAGATAATAATAGTATGTATTTCTGAATTCAAATTTAATTCATTGATATTCTCTATTTCTTCGTTTATTTTGCCATTTGCATTTTAAAATAATTGTAATAGTAATCAACATAAATCATATATATTTTTAGATCAGTGAATGAAACTGCGAAATATCGAATCGATTCTTTAATAATGATTGTTCTATTATTTAGTTTACAGAGTAAATGTTAATACCAAAGCGCAAAGTCAAACGAGTGAAATGTGCAATCCTTTGTCTACGACTGCGTCCTTTCAATCTTAAGTAAATGATATACATGGTAGTATCTTATAAGAATTATGATTAAGATCGAAACTTTAGATCCACGTTTATTATAATGATACAATTTTTCATATTATAGTGAATAATAATACGAGTGATAGATTATTTAAATTTTTTGATTCGAAAATTGAGAGATAACATCAAAAGACTCGCCTGATCTGCGCTTAACTGCCATCGACTGTGAACATGATATGCATAGAGAATAAAATAGAATTAAAATGTATAAGCTCGACGTGTAACGTTTGACGTTTAAAACATTCTGAATATTAATGGAAATCAATGTGTGATTGTGCCCAATGTGAATAATTAAAGTACGTTTCAATTAAAAATTAGATTTTTATAAGAAGATAGATAAATTTTAAGTGGAATTTTCTCGAATCCGCGGACTGGACTAAAAAAAAAATCTAGAAATAATTAATGAAAATTAATACGATTGATTTTTGTTTTAACTTCATCACGAAAAAAGGTATTTCTAACGCGCGAAACGTACAATCGTATAAAAGTGAAAAAAATTGTGTTCTAAAATATTATAGGGAATATGTATAAAACAAAAGAATCAATGAAGTCAAAAGTCCCTAACTATGACTGTATTTATGATGCTAGCATAGTATCATAGATATGATAGATATATCATAAGCGAAGAAAATGGTAAAATACGATGGAAGGTTCTCTTGTTCATGTAGAGTTTTTATGCCCACAAAGGCCCAATACATGTAATCCATCCATATAGTAGCAAAGGTCAACGTGGAACCTCATAGGCTGAATATTAAAACATTTTGTATTCATAATAATTTTATATTCATTTCATATGAAACGAAATAAGAATGGAAAAATTTATCTGTCCAAATGTTAATTTCTTCTGTAGAATATTTTATAATAATAAAGCTGTGTTTAGGATTTAGTAAGGGCATGTGCAATATGTACATATTATATAAATGTATATAAGTATTCTTTGTTGAAATTAAAACACAACTCTGTTTAACAAAATTATTTTTGGTAATATTCAGCTAGAGGCCGCAAGCACCCGAAAAAAAAAAAAATCAATGTTTTCCATTCGTAGCACTAGTCAATTTTACATTTCACAATCATTGTACAAACGTTAAGATAAATGTTTCGTAATGTTATTTCTCTCCTAAAATTTTTTAGCCTAATATTTTTTCATTTTCAATATGTACAGTATTATCCATGATATTTTTTTGCATTATATATCACATAATTGTTCATTTTGACAAGAAATTAACAACTTATTAATTAGTTAATTAAACGTACGAAATCGTGCATTTATACCGCCTTTAAATTTTCGATTATCTCGTAATTTTATAGTTCTATAAGTTTAATCAATTTCGTACAACGTACGATCTAATTTAACGAGAAAATAAATTTTATAATTTAAAATGAAAGTAAAGGCCAAACAAAAGCATATATTTAAAATAATTAACATTTCCGCGTAAATATTATTTTAAGTCTTATACATGAATAATGCAATCTGATAGTCAATTATGATCGTATCGTTAAATATATCCGTTGCCAAATATGTACCTATTTCTCTTTAGAATGTCTTGCCTCATAAACAAGATTCGGAGTATAAGCTCGAAGATGTGGATCAGTTCACAAAATGAACAAAAAAAAAAAAAAGTAACAGTGTAGCTGATTTGAGTGCCTGTACTTCATGCAAATATATGCATCTCATATTTTTCTGGACACGAATAATTTTTCGGAAAATATTTACCATATTATCTTCTGGCTTATGCTTCTCTTTAACATTATCCATAACTATATGTTGTATAAATGAGGCGAATGGAAATAAAATACACGAAAAGGCGGTATTATAATATAATGTGAATAAAAAAAAAAAAAAAAAATAATAAATCGCGTGTTGTTCCAGTGGAATCTCATATCACAGAATGCAGTATTTTTTCAACGAGTAAGCCTTACGTAAAGCAAATGACCCACACTCTCTGATTTTTCTATGTTAAATGTCAGACAATATATGTATATTGTATGTATATCTATTTATATGTCTCCATTTAAATGAATAGTTATAGGAAAATTAATAATCATTTTAAATGAATATGCTAATGATAAAAATAATATGTAAGTTACTAAAATCTGTCCAATCCATAGAAAATTGTATTAATATCTTTAAAATCTAAGTTAATGTAAAAAACAAATATGTAACTAGATTTGTTTAAATCGTTAAGTTACAATATTTTATTTTCACCAACAAATGTAACCAACTATTTATTTGCATTTATGTGCATGTAATTATTTATTAATGATAAATACCATAATTAGATTGTGGTATTCATATAATTTGATAAAATGAAATACAACAATTTAATATTCATATGTTTCTAGTTTACATAAAAAGACCAATGAAATATATATATATATATATATATTATATTTCATCATTTTGAAACAAAAAATGTCCCTAGTATTTGGCGCGTAAGTAAACATCGCGCCAAATCAATTAATTATGGCGTCAAGTGAATGTGAATAGTTGGTGCAGTGTATCTTTTTATGAAAATTTTATAATTTTCTTGTTTAATGCATGCAAAAATTTTTTAGATCTATTATCTAATACGTATTCAATTAATTATATGTAATATTTTTATAAACAAATATGGATCAAGACAATTGTTCAGTGACGTGTTCCGTTGTAATCGAATGGACTAATTCACAAGGTTCGATTGTAAAGAAAACAAATCATCGATCAGCTACTTTACGCTTAATTCGAAACAATTTTCGTGAAATTTATATCGAAATACGCGCAGAAAAAGCAAACACAACCACGAAATTATCGCTAATATCTATATCGGTTTTTAATAAATTTATGACGGAAGGAAAAGCTTCTATTAAATTTAAAAAAGAAAATTGTACACTATTTTTATCGAATGCACCGACAACTCAATTAATCAATTTTTTGAAAATGATATATATCAAGATCTCGGATCAAGAAGATAAAGTGAAAAATTCACTAAAGGAAAAATTTGTTGGTTATCAAGAAATTAGTCCCGCTACAAGTACCGAAACGAATAGAGCTAAAGAGAAGGCTCTTGTTGTATCACGTGCAACAATTACGACACCATCCCCTAGCGCTATTAAAAAGAGAAAACGGATTGATGAAAATGAAAGCACATTGAAACCATATACTGCGAAGAAACTTTACGAAAATCCAACGATAGGACAAATTACGGAAGAACAAAATAGAATTTTGGATGCAGTACTTCGTGGTAAAAATATATTTTTTACTGGCAGTGCAGGTACTGGAAAATCTTTCTTATTGAGAAAAATAATAGCGGCTCTTCCTCCTGACGTCACGATTGCTACAGCAAGTACCGGAGTAGCGGCATGTCATATAGGCGGAATAACTTTACATCAATTCGCTGGAATTGGATTGGGAACCGCAAATTCGGAAAGATGTTTTGAAATGGCTTCTCGTAGTTCCTCTGCTGCTTTATGGAGAAAAACGAAACATTTAATCATAGATGAAATTTCTATGGTAGATGGGGATTATTTTGATAAGATTGAAGCTGTTGCTAGACATATTCGTAAAAATGAAAGACCTTTTGGTGGAATACAATTGATATTATGTGGAGATTTTTTTCAATTACCACCAGTTTCTAAGAAAGATAAGAAAGCAAAATTTTGTTTTCAAAGTAATGCATGGACAAAATGTATACATTTCAATTATGAATTACAAACTGTTTATAGACAAAAAGATCCTGAGTTTATCAAAATTTTAAATAATATTAGAATAGGTAGGGTGACAGATGATATTGCAAAAACCCTTAAGGCAACAGCTAAACAAAAAATAGAGAATAATGGTATTTTAGCAACAAGACTTTGTTCTCATGTAAATGAAGTTGAAGAAATTAATGAATTTCAATTAAATGAGTTAAAAGGTGAATCTAAAACTTATATAGCACAAGATTCCGATCAATCAATGACTAAAATATTGAATCAACAATTGACTGTTCCTGATAAATTGATATTAAAAATAGGTGCTCAAGTAATGTTGTTAAAAAATATAAATGTTTCTAATGGACTAGTGAATGGAGCAAGAGGGGTGGTTATTAAGTTTGCAGATAATGTTCCAATAGTGCAATTTAAATCAGGTATTCAATATCATGCAAAACTCGAAAAATGGAATTTAAGAACAAATATAGGAACTATTGTTCATAGAAAACAATTCCATTAAAGTTAGCATGGGCTTTTTCCATTCATAAAAGTCAAGGTTTAACTCTAGACTGTGTTGAAATGTGTCTTGCAAGAGTATTTGATGCTGGTCAGTCATATGTAGCTCTTTCAAGAGCACAAAGTTTGCAATCTTTAAGGGTTTTAGAATTTAATAATCAACAAGTATGGGCTCATTCTGATGTACTTATGTTTTATAAAAAGTTTAGAAGAAATTTACAAGAAATGGAAATAATTCCTGTAGGAAAGAAGCAAAAAATTTAAATGAAATAATTATGTATAAATAAAATATTATTTTACTCATTTATATTTTTATTCATAATTTGATTTCACTTTTTAATTTTTATTTTTTTATTATTTTTTTTGAAACTAATTGAAATCAACTAATTATATTATTTTAATTATGTTGAGGAGATATTGAAAGAATTGAAAACACAATTTTTTTTTTTACAATTTATTAAAAAAAGTAAAAGTTTCTAAATTTTATATATAATTGCATCATAACAAAGCATAAATATATTTTATTTTTTCTTTTCTTTTCATTAAATATTACAAAATCACGCATTTAATAATTTCATATATATGTATTAATAATCATCAACTGTGATTTCTATTGATGGTATATAACGCCAAATGTGTCCAGCATTTATTAATTCTGAACAAAGGATCGGTGTATTTGGAGCTGATTCTTTACTGCTACATTGAATATCTATTTTATACTGACCAGCTGTAAAAAATACTACACGACATTCGTGATAAATTCTTCCATATTCCTGTAGCTAGAAAAACGAACAAAGTTATTAGAGCAATATAGAGTATTATTAAAATTTTTTTTTTATCAATAAAGTAACTCACTGCTGGAAGCATAATTTTATTTGCACCAGCAATGGATAATCTTGTTTCTAGTTGATAATTATTCACGCCATTATGATGATCTTGATAAAAATTGATAGATAACATAAGATCACTCAATGGATGTTCTAAAGCATTACATATTCCTATTCCGACACTAACGCATTCACCTAAACTACATGTAAGTTCATCTTGTGCCTTTACGATTGTATCATTTATTTTAATCTCTGAAAAACGAAACACGAAATTATTAATTTATTAACAATTAAATTATTAAATGAAAGACTAACACGTGATTAGTAAAACATACCCCATTGTAGAGGGCTCATTCTAACGAGATCTAACATATCTTGGGTGAGAGTAATGCCAGAAAGAGTCGCTTTTCCGGTCGATTCTGTGCCCAATAATTGCCAGCGTAAATCAACCAATGATGCAATATGTTCGGAACAAACTTTTTGAAGTTCTCCGATATCACCATTTCCATTTAACTATTAATAAAATAAAGAAAAAAAATATTTCTTTTATTATATTATAAAAAGAATTACATAAAATTTTTAATTACCATAGATAATTTATTCAATGGGCATCGATCAACTGGGACAGGGATTCTGCAAGGTTCTTTTCCCTCCATGTATATACATTTAGTTTCCGTGTAATACAATTCCATTTCATGATTAGTCATATTTGTTAAATCTAATACAAGATAAAATTGTGATGGTCTGAAAATATATATGTTATATATTATGATATTTTATATGTACATTCGTAATTTAATAATATATTATCTACTTACGTTTCTGCTGGAAGTACATCCCAATTTGTAATTTGCACACTAGGTAACATCTCAACTGTGATAAAAACTGAAGAAATACGACAATAACCTGCCGTTAAACCTGCACCACCCGAATATTTTATTTTTAATTGACCTTCAATAATATTTGAAGTATGCAATGGAACTGCAAGTTTAGACAAACGCGAACTCGCTAAGGAAGAATGTCCCGAATGAGAACTTAATCCTGACCTGAATGAGGAAGTTAATTCGGATTGTCTCTTTGTATGCGATGGAGAACTTAATCTAGATGGTAATGAACTATGTCCTGAATGAGACATTAAACTGCTGGGTTGACTAACATATGTACTGCTACTAGTATCTGAAAATATATTTAAAAAATATAGCAATTAAACTATAATTGTTATAAAAAAAAAATAATAAGAATAGAAATAGTTTTTGTTCAATATTACCGTTTCGAGATGTAGGTGCTATAAAATCGGTAGCTGCGTATAAATATAAAATAAAACTAGCATTACAGCCAGGTTTTAATGGTAATTGTGCCATTAAATTTTCATCATTCCATTTAAATATTTTACTTTCAGTTATCGTGTCTAATGTTGATTGCACTGATAATTCGATTGTTTCGATAGGAAGTTGACCATTATTTTTAATTGTTATAGTACATTCGGCGCTGTAACATTATTAAGTTCTATAGAAAAAATTATGTAACCGATGTTTTACTTATTTAATAGAATATACCTTTCTCCGCCATATAATGATATACTTGCACTAGTTACTATATTGTCTCCAG